GTAGCTAGATACGAGGCATTAAGTTGGTGCTTATGTTGCATACATTCATTTCAAAGACCATTCCATTGCATATCATTCATATCACATTCCATATTGTATACATTTTTGTGGCACATTTTACCTGTTGTTATGTATCAGATTTTGTGAGCTGTGAAAGACACTGTAGGTTTTTAACTGTGGGTATTTATTGAAGATGCTCACTGATCACCCAGGATGATATATCGTTATGTTACCAATCACCGTGGATGATATGGGGTTATGTTACCTAATCCTGATACTTGGGTGGATTATTGAGCTATTGGTTACATACACAATGCCCTGCTAATGTCACCTCAGATGACAGTCACCTCAGCTAGGGGTCAGCGCAATCCCTAGGGTGGGATAGAAGAAGGGGTGACTAGCCTCCCCTGGGGATCTGTTGAGTAACTTGTTGGAACAGAGGGTAGATTATCAACAGGGTATCCATTTCATGTTGGATTTGTGATGAAATGTGTCTGTTTCAATGTGTAGAAACAAACCTTACATTGCCCCAGGTCTACACACATAGTCTATAGTCTCTTTGCGGTGAAAACGTACCAATGAATTTCACTTTAAACAAAAAAGTAAATGAAATACAGTGAAATTAAAATGCGAATCCTCATAATTTTACCTTGCCAATTGAACATTAAAATCTCAGAATTTTATTCAACTTAGGGTAAAAGTTGTTTAACAAATGATCATAGTTTCAAATCGCTGTTATTGGTTTGTACTACAAGGGGTATGCATATTAAATGAAACCCCGAGAACAAGAAGGGTTGGTTTCTACGGTAGTCTAAGTTAACGTTCATCATGCACCGCACGTGCATTTGTTTCACTGTTCCAACTACTGCGCGTATCCCCTTGTCTCTGTACAGGTGTATGACAGACTAAGTCTCTGTACTGTTTAAGTGAGTGAGTGAGTTTAGTTTTACACCGCACACAGCAATATTGCAGTTATATGGCGGCGGTCTGTAAATAATCGAGTCTGGACCAGACAATCCAGTGATCAACAGTATGAGCATCGATCTGCGCAATTGGGAACCGATAACATGTGTCAACCAAGTCAGCGAGGCCGGACCATCCGATCCTGTTAGTCTCCTCTTACAACAAGCATAGTCGCCTTTTGTGGCAAGCATGGGTTGCTGAAGACCTATTCTACCCCGGATCTTCACAGGGTTAAAGACAGACTAAGTTTCTGTACAGGTGTAGAAAAGACTAAGTCCCTGTACAACAAACTAAGTTTCTGTACAGGTGTAGGACAGACAAAGTCTCTGTATAGGTGTAGGACAGACAAAGTCTCTGTACAGGTGTAGGACAGACAAAGTCTCTGTACAGGTGTAGGACAGACTAAGTCTCTGTACAGGTGTAGGACAGACAAAGTCTCTGTACAGGTGTAGGACAGACAAAGTCTCTGTATAGGTGTAGGACAGACAAAGTCTCTGTATAGGTGTAGGACAGACAAAGTCTCTGTACAGGTGTAGGACAGACAAAGTCTCTGTACAGGTGTAGGACAGACTAAGTCTCTGTATAGGTGTAGGACAGACAAAGTCTCTGTACAGGTGTAGGACAGACAAAGTCTCTGTACAGGTGTAGGACAGACTAAGTTTCTGTACAGGTGTAGGACAGACAAAGTCTCTGTATAGGTGTAGGACAGACAAAGTCTCTGTATAGGTGTAAGACACTAAGTTTCTGTATAGGTGTAGGACAGACAAAGTCTCTGTACAGGTGTAAGACAGACTAAGTTTCTGTACAGGTGTAGAACAAACTAAGTTTATGTACAGGTGTAACACAGACTAAGTTTCTGTACAGGTGTAGGACAGACAAAGTCTCTGTACAGGTGTAAGACAGACTAAGTTTCTGTACAGGTGTAGAACAAACTAAGTTTATGTACAGGTGTAAGACAGACTAAGTTTCTGTACAGGTGTAGGACAGACAAAGTTTCTGTATAGGTGTAAGACAGACTAAGTTTCTGTACAGGTGTAGGACAGACAAAGTCTCTGTATAGGTGTAAGACACTAAGTTTCGGTACAGGTGTAGGACAGACAAAGTCTCTGTATAGGTGTAAGACACTAAGTTTCTGTATAGGTGTAGGACAGACAAAGTCTCTGTATAGGTGTAAGACACTAAGTTTCGGTACAGGTGTAGGACAGACAAAGTCTCTGTATAGGTGTAAGACACTAAGTTTCTGTACAGGTGTAGGACAGACAAAGTCTCTGTACAGGTGTAAGACAGACTAAGTTTCTGTACAGGTGTAGGACAGACTAAGTTTCTGTACAGGTGTAAGACAGACTAAGTTTCTGTACAGGTGTAGGACAGACTAAGTTTCTGTACAGGTGTAAGACAGACAAAGTCTCTGTATAGGTGTAAGACACTAAGTTTCTGTACAGGTGTAGGACAGACTAAGTCTGTACAGGTGTAGGATAGAATAAGCCTCTGTACAGGTGTAGGACAGACAAAATCTCTGTACAGGTGTAAGACAGACTAAGTTTATGTATAGGTGTAGGACAGACTAAGTCTCTGTACAGGTATAGTACAGACAAAGTCTCTGTACAGGTGTAAGACAGACTAAGTTTCTGTACAGGTGTAGGACAAAGTCTCTGTACAGGTGTAATACAGACAAAGTCTCTGTACAGGCTTTTGGACAGACTAAGTTTCTGTATCGGCTTTAGGACAAACTAAGCCTCTGTACAGGTGTAGGACAAGCTGTACATGTTCGAGGTGTTTGTCATATCCTTCGATCCCTATTCATCATATTGTTTGAAGATTTTAAAAGCAGCCCAAAAACATCCATCACACTTGCTCACTGACTTGGACACTCACTTGGCCACACACCAACACTGTTGCCTTGTTTTGGAACTGAACAGCTTAAGAAAAGTTTTAACCTCTATGTTTTCTTGCGATGTATTTTATCTAACTTTAAAAATTTAATACTTGAGAATATGAATGGTATGTTTGCAGATGTTACTAAATTCCAATTGTAAACAACGTTTCTATCCAAGAATAATACTGAACTATTTCTCTTAATGGGTGATATATGTTTAAACCTTTGTTTATTCACGAACTAACTGAACCATGCAGACAGAGTTTACAAAAGGTTGCTGTGGATAATTTGTAAATCCTGAAATCGACAACTTTGCTTAACTCGTGAATTACATCCAGACGTACAGAATATCATGATTCAAAATAATTTCAGTTTGGGTGAAATATGGAATCCATTCTTTTGAAAACATTTCTCCCCTTTCTTGAGATCTGCTGAAAGGAATGTGCCAAATTAAATGTTTGTTTTTGATTATAAATTAACAACAGCTGTGTAAATTGCATTGCATAACAAACAAGGGAATGTGTTTCATGTGAATGCTGTGAAGCAAAATAAGGGAGAAATAAGCGTGTTTCTTTTGGCATTCTCAACTGGCTGCCTTTCTTTGGTCCCTGTAACGTACATTGCATTAACTCTAAGTCAGACTAAATGTGGAATAAATGTCTTGACATGACATAGGAATACACACCATTTTGAACACAAAACACAACTGAATTGTACCTAGCGTCAATACACAGTGGAGTTGACAGACTCCAATATATCTCCTTTAGTGGGGGAAACATTGTAATGATGACTTTGTATGGGTTAATTTAAGCTCTCACACATTCATCTAAAGCATTGAAAGTCTTTTGTTTTTTAAATAGCTTTAAGAGGTATTTAACTAGTTTCATATGACCGTGTCCTGTTTTTGAGATTCCAGCATGGGTCAGCTCTGGTACACAGACATGTATGCAGTATGGATGTGGTCTGTATCAACATACATGGATAGTGAGTGAGTGAGTGAGTTGAGTTTTACACCGCATTCAGCAATATTCCAGCTGTATGGCGGTGGTCTGTAAATAATCGAGTCTGGACCAGACAATCCAGTGATCAACAGCATGAATATTGATCTGCATAATTGGGAACCGATAACATGTGTCAACCAAGTCAGCGAGCCTGACAACCCGATCCTGTTAGTCGTCTCTTACGACAAGCATGGGTTACTGAAGGCCAATATTCTAACCCGGACCTTCACGGGTCACATACATGGAAAACCTACAGTGATATACTTACAACACAGTTAAGGGCAATAATGGATTTAATCATGTTCTTGCAAGCCCATTCAATTCAAAAGGTCAAATCCAGAAAATCCCAAAAATATTCTGATAAAAAGCATTCCAAGAGATATAAACGGTAACATAGTGAAGAAAGTTAAGTGAAGGTGATGACACCAGGGGTTTGTATTGGTAACACCTTCTACTGACTAAATTCCCATTAAAAAGTAAGTGCCAGTGAGTAAGGTTTACTTAGTAGTGAGCTCACTCACTTATCACAGCATGATATTGCTGGAATACTGCTAACATGGCGTAAAACCATACTCACTAACTCACTCACTCACTCACACTCTGTCATACTTACAAAATTCTCCACTGTATACAGTACTCACTCACTCACTCACTCACTCACTCACTCACTCACTCACTCACTCACTCACTCACCTCACACTCTGTCATACTTATAAAATTCTCCACTGTATCCAGTATAAGAGAACTCACTCACTCATTTACTCACTCACTCACTCACTCACTCACTCAGTGTACTTGCTCTAGGTTGTGTCAGAATAAAGTAAGCAGTTTAAGTGGTGTGGTCAGGGTTTATTGCTTGACATGAAAATACATCTTGTCATACAACTTGAGCTGCCATCATTGCACATTTGTTTACACAGAATCGGGAAGGACACAGAACAATAGTGAATTCCTCGCTTGCATCAAACTGTAGTGTGAAGGCTGTGTTGAATGTGAAATAATATTTTATGATAATCAAGGATTACATCTGGTAGGTATACTGCATACATGTGTTTGATATTCCACATTGTGACACAGTCTGACAAATGTATACTGTCATAAGTGGCCCTTAGATTACAGCAGTAATTGATTGAAGAGACCAGAGTTAAAGGGGTACTCACCTCCATGATCCGGTGCCCTATCTCCACATTGTAAAGGATGACTTGTGTCAAACTTGGTCATTATCTTCCTGTAATTGGAGAAGATAATTGTTGAAGGCCAAACTGGAACAATCACACAATCTGAGGCAAAGTGAACTTAGCAAGTTTCATGTAAAACATCCAGTGGATGCCATCTGACCCACCTCTAATTGTATTGTATAAAAGAACATAGGTGAATGGTTCTTGACTAAGTGTTGACTCAAATAATATTGATAGATGATGCTTGTTCCTTCCACTCACTCACTCACTCGCCTTCACACAGCTGTAATATTGCTGAGTGTGCTTGCTTGCTCACTCACTCACTCATTCATGCATGCACACACTCATGCACACAGTCAGTCACTCACTCACTCACCACCATACAGCTGTAATATTGCTGAGTGCTCGCTTGCTCATTCACTCATTCATGCATCACACATGCATGCACACACTCACTCACTCACTCACTCACCACCATACAGCTGGAATATTGCTGAGTAACTAAATAACACTCCCTCACTGGCCTGAAGCCCTGTCTGCCCCTCATATTCAAGATTAAGTCATAAAGTGGCATGTGTGAAGTGCTTGGTCCTGACCTGTGCCCTACACCACAACATGGTCAGTGTGTCCATCTGATGCAGAACACCAGGCAGGGCAACATCAAGTACCATCTATATACATCTTTTGAAAGGTTGTGGTCAGGGGATCAGACCACCAACCTATGTACGTCCGAGTAGACACTCGATCAACTGCATCACTGTCTACTTTGTATCTGATAAACCGTTGAAAGACTTGACAACCTCACACCAACCATTCATGGAGTATATTCCAGAATGTGAAATACAGAATGTAACATCTTCTTCACACAGCCACACTTCAGCAGTCAATAAACAGATCAGATACTTTATAGTCATCACATGCACAAAAGTTTACTCAACTGCAAAAAGTACAGAAAACATAAGAACCCATTTTATTTTAAAATTTGAAGGATAGTGTTAATGTTTTCTTTAGGTTCTCCCATTATCAAGTGTGTCTTCAGCAAAAACATTTAGCACACAAAGCAAACAAATTATAACTTGTGCTTAAATTTACATAAACTTCTCTTGAATCACACAACGACATTGAGGGTAGAGTCTGAGAGTGGGATAATATTTTTCTTTTTATTCTATAGAAAAGTAAACATTGTACTTACTTTTATATATGCTTGTGGTAAACAGTTTAAGATTTCAAAGACTGGTTCATTGTTGGAGAGGTCATCCTGATTATCATCTGAAGGCTTCTTAATGTTGGTATGCTGCTAGAGCGTGGACTCTTGCTGGAACTGTGGTTGGGACAATAGTGAAGCTTCACATGTGTCAACTATAGGAACAAACTAATTTTACAAACTAAAGTTTTTAAACCTCCTTTATATACTCTTAAAAAAACTCAAATTTCCCTACCCCCACCCCCACATCTCCCCCACCCCCACCATTACCTCCTCCTGCTCCTCTTCCATACATGTCATGAGCAATTTAAGAAACACTCCAGCCTAATATCTTGTTCTTGTTTCATGAACAATTATATTCAAAACTACCATGCATTAAATGGCCACTTGAAGATGCAGCTTATGTTCATCATGAGGCTTTATTGCCCATGAGAGATACTCTTTTGCTGATATGGGGAAATATGAGTCAATTTTTAAATAACACTATTATTCTCTAAAAATACCTTTGCTTGCCTACAAGAAAGGAAATTGTCCAGGCATTGTTACATACTACTTTCCTCAAACTATCTTTATGACTTCATATTTGCTAACAGAAAGCGGTATTATATGCCTTAATGCTTGTTCGGGGAAAATTACAGGGTGCTTTGTCTTGTTTAATAGAGGTTGGTGATTATGATTAAATAAATACTGTTGTCAAATGTGAGTAGCTTTAACTTAAGCATGACGACTAAATTGTGGCATTTGCTATCAAGCTGTGAGGACTCATTATGTATTCAAAAAGTTGAACAGACAGTATCGGAAATAAGTATGCAATTCTACATTTCAAGGAATGTGTTGAACCTGTTTGAAATATTAAAGTATGTATTTATCAAAACATCTGCTTGTTACGACAAATGGGACTTCAGTGAGAAGTGACAACATTCTTTATGACAAAAATATTCAAATTGTAAAGTATTGGTATGTTTGATATTTTCTTATTGATCTTGTGTTTTGAATTGTGTGGTTTAAATCTCTGATACTTTTCAGCATCTATATGTTCTGTTACATATACCATAATATCTTTGTTAGGTTGCCGTTAATATATTTTTGGATTTTCATGAAAACAAATGTGATTCGCCTGGATGGGGTGGTGAATTAATGGTGTATAGTGTGTGATTGTAGGATGAATTTTATGTGAGAGGAGAACAGTTCCATCGTCCGTTATGATGCTTTGCACAACATGGACCCAGCTGTGAATGGGTACCTCGTAAGGATGGGAAAGCCACATAGTGGCTGCAAGAGTTGTATGATCCCCAGGGAGTTGAGATTGATAATACTTTGTGCTGTTTGAGACTGACATCCAATGATCGAGGGAAAAACAAAGCGCCTTTGAGCAGGTGATCTGAATATTGGCGCTATATAAATATATATAGATAAATAAATAAAATAAAAGGAATTAGTTATGACTTTGGGCAGTGCATGGAGAGAGCTCCTGTTTTTCAGTTTGTGGTTTTCAAAATTAAACTATAATTTTTTTAATTTTTTTTTCAGTCCAATGTTTAAATTCAGAAATCAGTTTTGATCACTGATGTTCCAAAGCACATAAAATGTGATGTTATTACATGAATATAATTGCCGTCTATGTTCAAACATTCGATACAGTGAGATATATATAAGACACATTGGTGCCCTCTGTGTTCAGGATGTGAAGGTGTGACAATGATGTGTGTGTATTATGGTGTGTTTGAATTGGAAAAGTTTGGATTCATGAAGTTGAAAGAAATGGACATTTTACTTGTGTTTTCATGGTTTCTGTTTTTAAAAGTCGGGCTTAATTTTGGTCTGTGATCTTAGCGCTAAGATGACCATATCTTCCACACGATCCATTTACTACACAGGATTTTCATACATCCACTTCCAATATGGACTATAATCTTGAAGCACCACACAAGATATGCTGAGTGTCAGTATGTGAAACCTAGTACTCAGTGCCCCTGCTTGAACATCCAAATCTGATGAAAAACTGTTCTCAACTGTAACAAGGAATAGGAGTCATGTGGAACATTAATTTAAAGTAATGTACATATTTTATGATTATGGCCCAAATATTTTTCTTCAATTTTGGATGTCATTCTTCGGGATGATTGCATATTATTAGCCTAAGGAAGGCACATTGACGGGTTTTTTTGCATATTCAAACTAGCCGAGGAGCCGGGGAGACAAGCTTTTTGCATCTACAATTGAATTTCATGACATAAACCTCCTATGTCTATTTACCTCCGTGATGATATTTTCACCTGAGGTTTACCATTTGATTGAAAGGATGAAAAGATGTTTTCAGGAAATTGTGATCCCATTAAGCAGCGGGTCGTAAGATATTTCCATAGAGGGCAGCAGATCATTGACCCATGAAAACTGGAAAGTCGTATGTTTTGATTGCTATAGTCACGTGGCAGTACAATCCGAGAAATAAGAGCGTCATGTGTACCTGTTAACACATGCAGACAATAGAACAAGTCAAACGTAGGGAAGGACACATATCAACTCCATCCCTAGCAATACCGAGACACAATGAAGAATACCGTATATGGTATACTATAAATCTAATTCTAGTATATGAAAACATGTTTACACATACAAAATCATACAAAAAAACAAGGTTTGTCTCTGATAAAATGACATCATGATTTTCGAAATTAATTGATAATGCATCGTTAATTTACACAGAAAGATGAGATCAAAGATAATTTTTGTCTGTTTTCAAACGTTAACCTGGCCAAATAAATAACGCCTATCATGAAACAACAAGATGTAATTTAATTTGTATTCCAAGAGAAAGTCCACACAAATTTAAAGGGTTATGACTACCTACCCATGATTCTGGAACATATTAAATACAGATGATTTCACGTGGAAGGTATGTATTGTCTGTCCACCTGGTGGCCGGGGATCAGAAAATTGGACAAGGCACCTCTGTCGTCAAGTGAGAGTGACAGTGGGGTTTGATGCCAAGGACAAGTCACACCAACAGTCGTTAAAAGATGGTACTTGTTGTTGCCATACCTTGTGCTGAACATTAGGGGATAAAACACTTATTTGTTCAGCAAAGCCTACAAGATGTAATCCGTGCAATTAATTGCTATATACCAGCACTATATTAGTGTATATTTTGGTTTATTGATTTATGAATGGGAATTAGATATGGGAATATCAGAGCTCACCATGTACAATGTCAGGAGCAAGTCTAAATGAAAGATTACTTAACATGGAAGCAATCAGACCAAGGGTCATGGTTAGGTAACACTGGGATTCGAACCCAGAACCAGCAATCCTGATAACTAGGGAATACAACTCATATCAGCTGGCAGGCCCATCCTTCACTATAGAGTAAGGGAAGGGAAGTTATTGAAGTATCTATGGTATGCACCACCCACATTACCAGGTATATTCCTATAGTTTCTGAATATACATTTGTCCATAATGACCAGGGATTAAGTTGCCTGTTCCGGTGGTTCGTGTCATACCCTTTGACCCGTGCGGCGCTCGTGTGCACTCTTTATACACAGTGTTAGATTCACTGACAAGGAATGTTGATGGCTTATGACATTATTTTTAGGTCTGCAGACTTAATGGCTAAGGAAGTGTGAAGTAGTAGGACAAATCCTTACCTACCGTCTTTTGTCATCAGCCAATTTAGGAAGCAATTAAGGGCAATTTGAACCTTCCTGAGATCAGGTCAGACCAAGTACGAGACACACCTGTCATAGTCCCCACATCCAGGTACAAGACACAATCATACATACCTGTCATTCATCATCTTGGTCAATCCATCAAATCATTGGTTTTTCTTTGTTTGCTTGTTGTTTATATGCAATCATCAATATTCCAGCTATATGGTGGCGGTCTGTAAATGAATGAGACTAGACAATCCAGTAACATCATGAGCATTGATCTACGCAGTTGGGATACAATGACGTGTTGACCAAGTCAGCAAGCCTGACCACCTGATCATGTTAGTTGGTTCTTAAGACAAGCATCTTCCTTCATTCATCAACTCACTCACTCCATCCTTCATCAACTCACTCAATCTTTCATTCATCAACTCACTCATTCCATCATTCATCAACTCACTCATGCCTTCATTCATCAACTCATTCATTCATCAACTCAATCCTTCATTCATTCATCTCACTCATGCCTTCATTCATCAACTCTCATGCCTTCTCATGCTCATTCATTCATCAACTCACTCATGCCTTCATTCATCAACTCACTCATGCCTTCATTCATCAACTCATTCATTCATCAACTCACTCATGCCTTCATTCATCAACTCATTCATTCATCAACTCACTCATGCCTTCATTCATCAACTCATTCATTCATCAACTCACTCATGCCTTCATTCATCAACTCATTCATTCATCAACTCACTCAATCCTTCAATCATCAACTCATTCATTCATCAACTCACTCATTCCACTGTATGTTTTCCATTTCCAGAGAAGAACTAAACCATTTAATATTCCTTGTTGAAAGTTGACATAGAATTAAGTCCTGTGGTGAACTGGATCCTTTTGATCACTTGGGAGGTGTGTTGTATCTGGAGCTACCTGAAAATGGGGATGTGTCCCACTCCAGAGGAGAACTCCAAAACAGTTGGTTACTCTGTTATGAAACTTGCTATACAGATCAGTCTGGTGCCCTTTATTGATTTGAGATATCATAAAATAACAAACAGCATTACTATTTTCTTTCCCAGAACGGAACATATCCAGTGAATGGGAACCAAAACTGAATTGCACCTGACTGGGGGGATATGTCATCTCCTGATCAATCTCGTTCATCAAGTTACTCGTTCCATCATTTGACAACTCACCCATGCCATCATTTCTCCTCTCTTTCACTCCCACATTCATCCATCAAGTCTTCCATCCACGTTCATACCCCATTACAGACTGAAGGCCTGTGTCTCTACCACGGCCAATAGTAATTCAACAAGTTCCATACTTTAATGATACAAAATTTGTTGTACAAATATTTGCATTCGTGTTTATAAAAAATTGAACATAATGGAAAGAAGATTTGCCACTCAGTCTGTGTCAACATTAACTAATTTTTTTCCGAAAACACCATTC